CCACCCAATTGGGGCTGCATTCCCAAGCAACCCGACTCTTGGACAACACCTCGTTGCGCAGCAGGGTCCGGCGGTCGACGGGGCTGTCACCCACTTCGGCGTCCCCTTCCAGGGAACCTGCACACGGCCCGTTGCAGAGGTTGCCTCTCAAGACTACAATTCAGGGAGCARCACAGCCCCCGGATTTTCAGTCTGGGCAATTCCTGGTTCGCTCGCCTCTACCAAGGGAATCCTCGTTGGTTTCTCTTCCTCCGCTTAGTTATATGCTTAACTTGGGCGGGTGCTCCCGCCCGACCTGAGATCAAAAGGCAAGGCCCGACATACCTCCACAGCTCTAGGCCGACACCCCCAACCGCAAGCCCACCTCAAGCTGATGGGAGCGAATGGAAGGCCGCGACCACACAAACCGGAGGGACGACCTTACGTGYCGTTTTCAGGGAAACGAAGACCACCACCCACAAACGGGTGCTGGAGGGCAACAACAGGGCGGAGCGAAACACACCACTCTGGGCTGCGGCCCCCACAGGCCCGCTCGGAATGCTCTCCAATTCCATTCCACTTTAGGGTATCGACGCTCTCCAAGTGGGAAGCGAGGGAAGCCACGACCACGGACCCCACCACTCTCCGAAACGGAAGGTGCTGAGGTCGTGAGGAATCCAATGATGCTCAGGCGGGCGTGCCCTCGGTAGAAGCCTTGGGCGCCACGTGCRTTCAAGGTATCGATGGCTCACGGATTTCTGCAATTCACATTCAGWATCGCATTTCGCTGCGCTCTTCACCGTTGCGACGGCCAAGATATTCGTTTGCCGAGAGTTCTAGAATATGGTGCCGTTGCGACAGGACCAACCCCTCGACCAGAACAGAAGGGGGCCGTCAACCCGGACAGCGACAAATCAGAGCAGGTASATCAATAAGAAGTTGCAAAGCCGTCGCCACCAGCCGCTGCCACGGGCCCGCCCGACCCGCCGTTCGGGGGGCCAGGCAGGGCACTGGGTAGCAGCGGGGCAACGAGGGTGCAAGCGCTGTCTCCTCCCCGCCCCCCAACCTGACACCACCCCGTTCATGACCAAAACCCTCCCCCAACGGCCCTCCACCCCGAGATTCAGACCACCTCGACTGTGTCGAGGACGACGATCTGTCCGGAAAGGAGAACCCAGTTGGGAAGGAAGGCAGGACGAAACGGGGAGGGGCCGAGGACCCCGCAACACACCCCGCCCCTAGCTTGTACCACGACCCTCGATCCCCAAACAAGCCACAAGCTCCGCATGAAGCCGAGGTCGAGGCCGGGATGGAAAGGAGGTCTGGACAAAGCTGAGACGGGAAGGAGCGCGGGTACGCAGGCCGAGGACAGACGCCACCACCCGACATCCCGCCCCTGACCCTCCCGCAGGGCTGTCCGTGCCCGGACCAACCGCCATCCCGACCAGAAGTCGAGAGTGGGGCAGGGCCGAGGTAACAACCTGCGAAGGCGAGACGGGATGAAGGGGGAGCAACGCCAGAAGGCCCCGAACCCTGCCCACTCCCCCCACCCTCGACCTACATCACGCGCCCCTCTGCGCCGGGCCAGCCGCCAGCTGGGCACTAAGCCCAAGATGGTGCTGAAACGGAAGAGAAAAGCGGATGCAGGAAGGATGGGGGCAAAGGGCGGCGAAAGGGTGAGCAAACCAGCGTCCCACACCCCGAAGATCGGCCATTCACGTGTCAATGATCCTTCCGCAGGTTCACCTACGGAAACCTTGTTACGACTTCTCCTTCCTCTAAATGATAAGGTTCAATGAACTTCTCACAGCACCCCCAGTGGCAAACCGCCGAGATCACCGCAATCCAGACACTTCACCGGACCATTCAATCGGTAGGAGCGACGGGTGGTGTGTACAAAGGGCAGGGACGTAATCAGCGCGAGCTGATGACTTGCGCTTACTAGGCATTCCTCGTTCAAGATCGATAATTACAACAATCTATCCCCGTCACGATGAACCTTAAGAAGGTTACCCGGGCCTTTCGACCCAGGCAAG